TTTGATGAGCTACCAAAATCAAACAAAGATAAGAACACCAACTGTACATCCACATTTATGTGGGCTAATGAAGACAAGTCACTTAGTTAGGTAACCAGTGGGCAAATAATCTTATGAATGGGGGAGATTCAAAGAACTAAATTGCTATAAAGTACGTCAATTTACAGAATATAACAATAATTAAGGTACAGTGATCTGATATTTTGGTGATATTTCGTTTACGGTTTTAGTAAAACTCTGGATCAACAAGTCACTAGTGAGCGTTTTTACAACATAATTGTCCAGATCTATTTGTAAAAGGATTTTTTAGTAGGAAGGGAAACCAGTTCATGGTTACAAACATGAGTTGTAGACGTAGTTGACTTCGAAAAGTAACATCAATACCATAGATTAGTTACAATCCTGCTGTATCGTACGGAGCCGTAGGTGAAAAAATGTTTTGCCCCACAGACATATGTAGATTGAGGTTATCGCCCCACCGTCATGAATGCTGGTCAGATAAACCATCCTGTCTCTTTTTTTTTCTTATGCTCTCTTATGTTTAGTGGTAGGTTTTTACTAATGTTTTAGTCTATGTTCTATTTTTTGTACACCTTGTCAGAATTCACTTTCTCTACTAGATCCATGTAGCTCATTTAAGTTTCGTTATGCTCTTTGTAGCAAATGTAGATAGGTTGAACATATATGAAAGATTTGTAAAAGTCCTAAGCCACTTACTACTAAAACACTGAATGACTGTTAGTCGAAACTAGCTGATTTAGACAGAAGAATCGAACCATTATCCTGTTCTACCGCCTTTAATAGTATTTCGTACATAACACAAAATCAGTTACGGCTACTGTTAAGTCCCATTCATCTATTGTTGATACTGAAAGCAATGAGTCACTTATTTCCAACAGACATTCGGTAATGTTGTATAGGGATGTCGATTTAAGTTCTACAAGTAGTGCGATCCCCAGTTACCCATTATCGGCACAGTTATCGTACCACCGGGGAAATTAGAAAAGGGTGGTTATGTTAATATTCCTTCCCTAGTTAGTGAGTGTGGTTCATCTATTTTTGGTTTAGAAACCTTCGATTACTGAATGTCCTCATTTTTTATACACTTATTCTTCTGTTATTATTTCAACCAAATACCCGGTCTTACAATGTTCGAATGCTGTAGGAGGTATGAAAATTACACTGGTACACATAGATGTAGAGAAAGCCTATATTCCTAAAGCGAAGGCTAATATTGCATGGTCGAACGGAAGCTGGGAAGAATGTGTTAAATAAACTTCAGTGTCTTTCTCACCACCTAGTATAAAACAAGTTATTTATTTGCGATCGATTCTTGTCCTTTAGTTACGGTTCCAGATGTTTGGTATTGGGCCATGGATAGTAGTCTAACCACTGTACTGCAGTGGTTCTAGTCACCTGGGTACGAAGTAGATGTGGGGATCACGCCAGTAGGTTTGATGAGTCTAGCAGTGGATCTCAGCACTCTCGTCGAGTAGTGCTGGCTTGGGACCGTCAATGTTGACAATCTCGACGCAGCCATGAAGGTCTTTTCATGACGCGATTCCAGTGAATGGGTCCTTCGTACGGCTATCGCAAAGGTTTGTGTACCGAATCTAGTCGTATGAAAACAGGTGAAGAGGAGGCAGTGTTCGCATCTATTTAGACAATTGTTGGACGCAATCCGATTTACCGAAACTATTACTGCTCCGTGGTATGAAAAATTCCCCAAGCAGACGCAATGTCGTGCCGCATACAAGTTTGGCGGTGGAGCATTAGATATCTGCCTTTACACTCGCTTTGATACCTATGAGGACTAGAGGTACGGTTTTGTACAAACTGTTGTTTCGTATGCTCAAAAACTTTCCAACCAAACCATTTGAAGCTGGGTGGCAGACGGTTGTCCGTATGCATTCTGTACCAAGCAGGTAAGTCAGCAAAGAGAATGATTCGAACTCGAATCGTTGTCCTCGATCAGTCATGACAGTCAACGGGCAACAGCACGGCGCTATCCATCGTTCTACCAAGTTGTGAGCATCTGTCTCTGCCGTAATATAAGTACTTGGAATAGCTTCAGGCCATCTTGTGAAACTATCGATGCACGTGAGTGTGTTCATACCCATGCGATGGTGGCAATGGTCCTACAATGTCAATATGAACATGATCGAAGAAAGTACCAGGCGTAGCAAACGTGCCGACGGGGGCAGCTTCGTGCCTATGTACTTTTGATCTTTGACATTGTAAGCATTGCTTTACCCACATACGACATCCTTATTCGTGGGAGGACAGATGTGTCGTGCAGCGATGGGGCGCAATGTGGCTGCGATATCTGGATGAAACAAACCATGAAGGGCATCGAAGACGAGACGACAATAAGTAGAGGGTACAGTTGGTCGAGGTAAACCGGTAGAGTTATCATACAGGATAGTACCTGAGCTGGTAGCTAGGGGCCTTTCCTGGCACTGAAGAGATGTAGAATGTTGTGTTTCCGTACTGAGGGAATCGCTTGCTTGGGTAGCAGCCATAACAGGGAGATCAAGCACCGTTAAAGTAACTGCATTCAATTCAGTATGTAAGAAAACATCGTCTCGCCTTAAATATGACGAAGGTCTGTCATGAACTGAGAGATATAGTCTAAATTTCTGCACCCTCGTGGTGAGTGGCGGTCAGACTTGGTATGCAGAGCATATGTTAGAGGCTTTTGGCCGGTGAAAAGGTCAAAGTTACAACCTTCTACTGAGTGCCGGAATCGTTTGATGGTACAGTAGGCTGCTGGCAGTTCGCGACCAAGAGCGCTGTATCTCGTCTCCGTGGAAGCGAGGCATCGTGAGAAAAGTTCGAGAATTTGCCGAATTCCGGAGATGTTCTGTTGCACTACAGCTCCTATAGCAAAATCTGATGCATTACACCGCTATACTAAGCGTGGCTGATAAGTCAGGATGGGCGAGGTGTGTGGCTTCAGCCAAAGCTGTTTTTATCCCTGAAGATGTAGTACGCGCGGCATCGTTCAATCATAATTTGCGTGAATTGCCGTGAAGTCGGTAAATGGTCGTAGCTATTTTAATAATAATAATAATAATAATAATAATAATTTATTCTCAAATAACAACATGTTAAAAGAGGCATGCCAATTTACAGGCAAGATCAAAATGATTTTGTAAAACGTTGTACAGTTACTGAAATATTTCACGAGATATATTGGCTTGTAGCATCTCATCATTCATTCATTGTACTTCAATTGTTAGTCGTTTAAATTATTCGATAATTGTATCGACAATAATTTTGTATTTGTACTAATTCGATTGCAGTATTGATTATTGTATATATGATTGTGTGTGGATTCAGACAGCACAATCTCATATCCATTGTACGTTACGAAACCAGTTCATTTTCACATCATTGTATTCTGAATCACTCATCACTTTGATTATGGTGTGACGGATACTTCCGACATGCTGAGTAGCTGCTCCCAACTCGAACATCCTAAGTAAATTGGTGGTATGGCGACACGCGCACGCACACGAACTATCGGTCTAAGCAGTCGAGCTAGCCTCCTGTAAGTTGATAATAGCATGTTTTCGACTGTCCCAATTATGGAAACGGTTTGCGACGCTACCATAGACATAAGTTCGGAGTCATACACTCATCGCCAGTAATTTATGTTATCAATACGCAACTGATGTTCATTTACCGCATTTGTAAGCAGCAACCGTTATTCTCATTTTTTTCAAAAATGATCTCTAACAAACTTCCGTCATATTTTTAAAGCCACTTGCTTGGTCTATGAGCCTTGCCTCATTTTCTATACATCCAGTAAAATTCATCTGATTTATTCACGTC